GTGCGCGGCAACGGCGCTAAGGCCTTGCCTTGTGTGCTGCCGTGCTGCCAGCGTTAATCAACCACGGCATACGTGGTCTCTGCGTCCTCTCGCGTACGACGTACTATCTCGCGTTCTCCCTCTCCTCGCAGCGCTGTGTCTCTCCGTCATACTACGGCCGGCCTCCTAAGGGAAATTTAGTGTTTTCTATGGTGCTTTTTTTTCTCCTCACTAATGTTCCTCATTGCACCCTTGCCTAATTTTTGAACAAAATAACGCATCAATTCAATCCCGACTCGTGCCTTTAAAGGGCACACAGTTCCCTGCAGGCAAGAGCCCAAAACCGTTCGAAAGCGTAATGGTGTTAGCCATAGTTAACGGTTCAACGAAAGAAGCACACGCCACAACCCCAACCCCCCTGAAAACCTCTCAAAAACTAGCAATCAGAAGTGTTTTCCAAAAATGAATTCAAAGCGAAAGTAGCATAAAAATGAATGCAACTTTGTGAACCAGCACAAAATCCCGGTGTAGCCGAATTGATTCAAGTATGTCCACTTTATTGTCCGTTCTGTCCATCTGTTTGTCATCTTTTTCAATTATTTTCTTATAACCTTTCCTCTTTGCAAATCTGCGAAAAAAAAACAAAGGGCGAGGGAGACTGACAAATTTTAAGACACGAAAGCAAAAAAAGCCGAATTTACTCCGATCGGTTCGGTTATGCATGAAATGTTGACTAGGTTTCCGCTATAGTTTGAGCCCATAGATGCCCTACTCATTTTTCGTTGGAAGATTATGGTGGGTTTCACGAAGATACAGTCGTTCAGAGATTAGGTTCTGGAGTCTCAGCTTTTGGAAATTTCTTAGATACAGCCATGTCCCATCACAAGGAGCTGTGTAATCAAATATAAAGAAATCGTGCTCTAAGCTGTTCAGCGAATCAAGCAATTCATCGTAGACTGGTTCATTGCAGCTTAACTATAAATCTACAACTATAAGTTGACAGTAGTCTTACAGTAACCATAGCAGATTTGTTAACATTTATTGTTTTAGGAAGAGTTCGAGTCCACAGGGGATAAACGTGCGCTCTCTTCGTTCGACACTCTGGGTGGCATTGGCCTTGGTAAACGTGCTCATCTCAGCACAATCGACTCACTTGGTGGACTAGGTAATTTATCTCCATTGCTTTTGTAACGTAGTGACTTTAGTGACTATTTATTTGTTTGTTTATGGGTCAATCACAGAGATAACACAAAGGGTGGTAAAACACTAAGGGGAGGAAAGGGTGTTCCATTATGAGGTTTTCCATATAGAATTAGTCTGAAAATAATCTAGAACAAATTCCTCATTTCTCCAACTAGGCTTCCTCTGCAAACCTGCTCATCTTCAGAATCGGAAGCTTTGTTTAGATTCTCCCTCTTTACATACTCTTTCACCCTTCTCCATGTTCTGTTCATCCTCTTAAGTACAATATTTTTCCATAATGAACCTCTCTGTCATTTTCTTTTCCCACATCATCAGATCATGGAAAGCTCTGCGACTTGAAGCTGTTTTTTTCTTCCGACCTGCTTGTAAAGGGATTATTCCATTCTGAGGGGGAGCAAGCACAAAGGCATACGTAATATGAGTTTGAGTCACTTTCAGGAAGCAATACATACAATTCCTATTTCTTGAAAAACTCCCTAGGCGACTGGTTTCACGTATTGGTAAGTCGGCGGTTAGCTCTTTACGATACGCTTGGGGATCGCCTAAGAACGAGGAACCGCGATAAAAAAGCACTCAGCAGTTTCGACACGCTTGGAGGTGAGCTATTCAGGAAACAACCGGGAGAACATTTCTGAAGCGAACCGTGTATCTGCTTAACCTCGGAACATAAGATTCCTTTCTTAGTGCAAAACTGGAAAGAGGATGCAGTAATTCTCAGTGCAAAACTAGAAAGAAGATGCAACAAGATTAATACCGAATGAGGCTATCTTATTTCAAATGACAGAATTGATGGGTTTTTAAAGTGATTGCCCAAAAATCAATTATACTGAAACCACAGAACCAGCCTAAAGTGAGCGGTGATCTAGATAAATGCGCAAATTCAGGAATCGGTCTCGGGAAACGATACGATGTAATGAATGGAGAGAAGAAATCGGTGAGCAGCTTCGACACTTTGGCTGGCATTGGCCTTGGAAAAAGGGCAGGATATTTCACACCGGTTGGTTTTTCGATGAATCTGCTTTAATGACTTTTCAAATAGTTTTTTAAGGGTACCGATTAGAAATTGGCGAAAGTGTGTTAACAATGGCACGCTTCCGTAATGTTTGCAAGCCCGAGGATCCAAATCTCGATCGTAAACTCGCCCCCACTCGCAACCCACCATACTACCGACCTCCAGCAGGGTCCGGTCCACCTTCGGTACCCAGTCATCTGGCAGCACTACAAAAACCACTGCCCTTGCCACATCAAGCTGTGCCCTAAGTCATCCTGCAGCGCCGCTACCCGCAATGTGCCAATGGAAGTTAGACCGCGTCCAACCAAAACTCAAACACACAAAAAAAAAACAAGAAACAACTCACAACACAAAAGGCAAATGCTTTATTTGCCTTTCAAGGGAACTATTGAAAAGAGTCATTTCAAATATCACAATGGCTCTCGTGAATCAAAGCATGCAAAAATAAACACAGTATTTTGATGTTGCTGGGAAAAGTTTCGACCTCCGCAAAAACACGCAAACCTCGCCCTCCTCAATTAGCTCAACAATGATGGCTCAGCAGCTAGCCAGCATTAAAGAATAACAGCGCAGAAGAAAACTCGGCCCCTCCCGCCCCCCCCCCGCCCATTTGAGTGAAAGTTTCGTGAGGGAAACGTGGTGCTCTTCGTCTGAGCCTTATTGTTTGGGTCGGAAATATTAGGTTGTCCCATAATTAGTGAATCACTTTGGGTATTTTTGAATTCAAATTTTTTTCTTTTTTATGTGGAGTCTTTGCTCATCCAAACATACATCTCTGTCATCTACAATGTATTGCCTAAACAAGGAAATTTAGTTGCTGTCTTATCTCTAGAATTCCAGGAGCTATTGATCGAAGAAAGATCGGAAGTCGAGTTTGAGGTCATGTCACTTAGCGTAAAGTTTCTTCCTGGAGAAGAGCGCTAGAGGTCAGACTGAGTTGTCTTTTGTTGACACGAGGATAGGGCCACATATAGGAGGTGAAAGAAGTGCTAGCCTGGAAGTCTCCAATTTTTTATGAATATTCTCCGCAAGGTGGGGTCGGACGACCTCAGGAAAAAGCAGACTTTGTCTTGCTTTACTTTCAAATTGAACGCGTCGCCATTGCGCTATAGATGCTGATCTTCTTCGGTGACTCTAGTATTAGTGGGCGGCGGTTCCCAGCGTAAGGTCACTCTCGTGCTCATACAATATCTCGGAAGTGTCGGACTCAAAGGTCCTGTTTAGCTGTCAGACTCCCGAACCCTTCATGCTAAGCTGCTGCTTGTTTGAGATTTGCTAGAACACTCCACCCAGTCCAGAACCCTGATGCATATGCCGGATGATCACTGTAAGGAACTAAGAGAGATCAGAAGGAACATGATGATGTCAGATCGTGTGTGGAGCTGTTTCGGGCTCACAGCATACAAGATACAAACTAAATATTTTAAAATCTTTACAACTCTACGTAGATGTCTACATTCCATCAGTTTAATAAGCCGGACATGCTCCAGCAAATGGCGACAAGTTTGTCCAGATCCACCCTCAGTGGCGCTGGGTACAGCAGTGAGATTGCCACTTGAGGGGTAGTTGGAGTGTGGGTCATCTTCAACTCAAAAAGCCAACCTCTCGATAGAGTGAAGTTACAAGTAGACCGCGGATTGAGGGAGCGTGCCCTCGCC